TGTAGTCATAGTCTGTATGTTGGTAGCTGCATGGTGCTAGAATTCCTCCCTGAGAAGTAATTCTCTGTGGGGTGTGTGGGGTGCAGAGGCCCTGCCCAGGGGCGAGGGAGCAGGGAGGCTATTTGTTGAGCAGTGATACTGCATCACTCAGTGCAGGGAGTGCAGCATAGGCCAGGCATATGGGGAATATGGCCGGAATCAGCTAGCAGGAGTTACCGTCTCATGAGGGACATGACTCACTCTTGGTGGAACTGAGCTAGGAACCAGGACCACCTTGGGGCGAGGAGACATACTGCCTGTGGGGAGCCCCTCTTGCTTTATTTGGCACTCTGGCCACAGTGCGCCTTTGGATTCCCCCTTCATTTGTGTGACCCCCAATCCCACGGATAGTTTTGTCCTGTAATCAGCCGCAGCTCACCTGACCTGCCACACGGGTGTGCTCCCTTCATACTGCATTTGTGCTGCTGTTACATGAGTGATTGTACTGTATAGAGTACACAAAGCACCGCGTGAGCTGTACCATCAAATGCAGTTGGTACCTGCCAGTCCCAGTGCTGGGGACTGCCCATGGGGACTGGTGAAAGAGAACCAGCTTCAAAGTGAATTGTTTTGTTTTGATATAAAAAGTCTAAGACACTTCAAGTGACTTTCTTTGCAGGGAGGCAGGGTAGGTGAGATAATATCTTTTATTGGCCCAACTTCTGCTGGTGAGAGAGACGAGCTTTCAAGCCACGCTGGGACAAGCTGGTTTTTTTTAAGTGAAGCAAAGTGACTGTCCCGTGCAGGCTGCCCACTGACTGGGCAGTGAGCATGTCAGCCTCCCCCCCACCCCACCCCACGAGCCTGTGCATCCCGAGGGGCTGCTCCCCGACGGGCTTCTATAATCATGGTCTGATTTCGCTAACTCTTATGCATTTGGTCTAATATAAATCAAGTCCTTTAACGTGTGCTAAATGCAAAACCCCATGTTTGTGCAGGTTCAACGCAGCCTTTTTATCATAAGAAAGGGGCAGAAACGTTAACTGCCCTGCATTTCATGTAGGGTATGTTAGTACCTTGAGCAGCCTCCCTACTCCTTCAACCCCTACGTTACTGACGTGCTCATTTCCATTCGAACCTGTTTGAAGTGAGCACCATCGGTCTGAGTTTGTGCAGCGCCCAGCACAGTGGGGTCCAAACCCTGACCGAGTCCGTTAGGTGCTGCTGTCCTAGAAGTAATAAGTAACTCCTCTGTAAAGAGCTACTCCCACGAGGGCGCTGTACTGCTAAGAGAGAGGCATACAGGCAAGATGGTGAGATCCTGGTGATCACAGAACGTTAACTTTTCATTCTCTGGCCGCTTGGGCTGACCAGCTCTTCCTCCAGACAGTGACCTCGCTAGGCGACTTTGTCCCTGGGAGATGTCATTCCTGGGGAACTCCCAGAAGCACCTGGAAGAGAAAACAAGCAACTTCTTTGAAAAGCAAGGTGTAGACAAACTAGTGGACGGGGCAGCCGCCAGGTGATCAGAAGAGGCAAGGAGAGAGCCCCAGGAGGACCCCTCTGCTCACAGTCTCTGCAGGCCATGGTGGGTTTTAGAGCTTTGCCACCTACAGAACGGAGGTGGATGACTGGTGCCTATAGTGCACTGGCCACTGGTCTCAGCCCTGCCTGTGCAAAGCGCTGCCTGCCAAAACCAAAGAGGGGCTCAGCGAGGCAGAGGAATCGCCCCAGCCCTGGAAGGACGTGCTCTCACCTGCGCTGGCAGAGTGCGGACGGGTGGATTGGGCGAGCGGTCAGCAGGGGCAGCGTGGTGAATGCGCAGCTGCTCTTCCAGCACCGGATTGGGGGGGGGGGAAGGTTGTGTGGCTGGTGGGCAGAAGGCAGTTGTGGGGCCACAGTGCTCTGGGTTGGGGCTGGGTGAGGGCTGGGGTCAGATAGGAGGGCTACAGGGGAAAGTGTTGGGCTCTAGGGGGGAGTGTGGGAGTAGAAGGCATTAGGGGAATGGGGGCTCACAGGCAGGGGAATGGGGGGTTTCTGAGTGGAGGGAGGGGATGGGG